GGAAATTAAGCTCATCGACTTGGGCTCAAGAAAGACAAAAGCGACTAAGAACAGTGACAACAAAGGAGGGAACAAGGGCAAGCATACGGCCCCTGCAGACGACCCATGCGAGGGGGCTGCACCGAAACCAACCCACAACCCCAGCACGCTGAGAAAGAAGAGTCTCAACCAGCTCAACGACGCGGAGACATCTTCTTCTACCGCTCCATCGACTACCCGCCGGGTGGGCGCGCTGCTGAATATTGGAGGTCGTCGCTTTACCCGGAAGAAGAAATAAGCCGTCGCCGCTATGGGTCTGCTGACTCAGCCATCCCCTTTTCTTCAAGCTTCGGCGCTTTCGTTCTCGACTTTTCTCAACCTTACTTTCTTTGCTTCTCTCTTCACTTCAGATTGTGGATGTTTGTCTAGTTATTTTAATGCCGGGAGCCATTGATCCTTATGGACATCAACGCTCCCCGCAGCCAATTATGCCTGTACATTAACTACTGATGCTAGAGAGTGGATCTTCCCAAGAAGGAATTTCACCTGGCTCAGTTAATAATACTGCAAATTTATCATTGATAATTGCCTCCCTTTTTCACCTTTACTCGCACACTACTAGAAAGCTATATAGGCTCATCCTCATCCTCACTCTAGCTCCTTCATCCCTGCAAGCTTCACTTTTTTCTCAAGGCTTTCGTGCGCTTTGGGGTTCAATCAGGCCGGCCTCCATCAGGATTTCATCACAAGAAACATACCAGCCCTCCATGACCATCATGATATCCCTTGGCATATTCCATACTACAAGGAGATACGTAGAAAGCCTCTATAATACCTTAGCCATACCAGCCACCACTCCAGGGTTTCACCATCAAGGAGCAAAACGGAAACCGGTCTCAATAATCATCAGTATGGATATGTTTCGGGGAAACAGTGTGATTGCCATGATGCCCCATAGCATAATGAGGAAAACAAAGCCCGCTATGTGCACATAACTACTGCGCAGCTATATACCTTTTTTTGAACGGTCGACTTCCTGCTATGACGGCGATGTCTTCCGGTTTCATATAAACTCAAGCAGCTATACCAATGAACAGAAGAAACAACAGACATGCTGATTGTAATCAAGGAGATACAGGGCTGGGAAGATGCCCGCTTGGTATAAACTATCACTCACGTTTTTCCACGTTGGAATTACATCACACCCCAAGCTCAACCATACCATAAGAGAAGCTCCATTGGCCCTCGGAAAGCACGCAAGCGACCCATCTGGGCCCGCATTTCTCTAAGTGCAGTAAAGTATAGGGGAAAGAAAATGGGGCTGAGAATTTTCCAGCTGAAGGTGTCACCAGAAAGTACATCAAGGATCTGGGAGAGGAATGACCAATATGCATTGAATAATCATGTACTTCTTTAATGTCTAAGCTTTTTTGGTGGCAAGGACCACACCGCAAAACACGCTCTTTAATCTCAAGCAATTAGTGCCGATGGCCAATGGAAATAGAGTGGTCTTGGGTGAGATGATATCAGGCTTGCTATTGATCATAAGCATGCTAACATGGCATGTAAACGATTTGGAGATATTATGCAGCTCACAAGAAGATAATAGGGAATGGAATGCACTACCTAGATTTCCCGAACTTCTGTGTAGAATGTTCCCGGGAAGAGTGTAAAGATATGGTTAACGATGGTATTAGTTATCCATGTTCAACTACGATCTATCCTCGGTCGTACGTTGCCCTAAGACGGTCACCATTTTCATGGGTTTTTCGTCTCCGTGGACTTATTGAGGGCCCACAGCGGCTGACCTTTGACGGTTTGACTTGCTTCTGTAGGCTTGATACGCACTATCGAATGGTTTCTTCAAAACAAAAGCGTTGAAGACCTAGGGTAGAAAGCTTAGGAACTCCATGTTAACTTACAAACACATTAAGGGTTCAACAGCATTCGGCAGGGATAGGGATGATGGAGAATGTTTAGTTGATAGAACTCATGTTGAGGGTGGAGAGTATTTTGAATATTCTGAAGGAATATGTGAAGGGAAGAGGTTCATGCCAAGCATTCACTGAGGTCCAATGTTCAAGTGCAGATTAGTTATGTTGAGGGACAACAGCAGAAGAGAAAAGCTGAAGGGCACTGAACGAATCGTGACTCTATGCATGTTGATTTCCACCACCCATATTAGCCCCTCCTACGTTGTCTTCACAACTAACAACAACCCAAATATGGATTTCTACAAAAAGCACCATCAAACAGCATATGCAGTAGCAAAACAAAATAAAAATAAAATAAGAACTTTGATCGAGTGTGGCTAGCCACTGCTTCAAGTCACTTTAGCTCTTTTCACCGCACCGGATTAAAGAGACCCGAATGTTGCAAAAGAAATGAAAATTGGGTTGTCGAGCACATCGTCACGAGCTTCATCCGTGGTCCCATCCCTAAAAGAACGCGCGCGGAAAACTTGGAAACGCAACGTGAAGTCGAGGAGAGATGCCTTACTGTTTCGATTTTCGATAGAGTGGGCGTCGTCGTGTGTGTTTTTTTTCGCGAAAGTCACATATATGCATTGCCATGCACTGCAAAATGCCTTAAAACGTCACCTTGGTTCGCGATTTCGAGAAAAAAGGGGGGAAATGAACATCCTATCCTTGGGGATGTCCGAGGAAATCGGATCGAGATTTCAACATCTGGCGGTTGAGACATCTGTCAAATTTTGTCGTCGTTGACCCCCGCCCTGATGGTATGTGATCGTGGAAGAGTTCTCGATGGTTAAAATAAACATGCCACTTTCCAACAACCCATCATGGTAAGAAAGGTTATCGGAAATCTGCATTGAATCAAGGAACCCAGAGCTTTCCGCGGCCTCGACCGGTACCTCGGAACATGCCACCTCGTGGAGCTCCACGGCGACCAGGACCGCCAGGTCGAGGAAGATGGCCAGGCGGCCCGCGATTAATGCTGTTAGTGGTATTCGGATTGACGATACCTTGCTGCTTCGTGACTCCAAAATTGCGGTTAAAGGAGTCAGGATCGATTGGAACAGAAGGAACTTCAACCTGCGGATCCGAAGCCGAATTGCCTTTGAGCCTGGTGCCCCCATTGACATTGCCGTTTGCAATTCGGTGAATAGCAGGTGAAGCACTGCTGCTGGTTCGCCCACTAGGCCCCATAGCCGCAGTCTTTGCCTGGCCACGTGGCACAAACACAAGGACATCTTCGTCACTTTCGTCATCGTAGGAGAGAAGGGGCTTCGGTTCGGTGGTAGAGTTCTTTTCCAGATACTTGCAATGATTCTTGAATTCCTTTTCTTCATAGATTATAGAAGTTCGGAGCTGCGGAATGGTTTTGACCGTAATACCAAACTTCTGGGCCCAGCTCTGAGTGTGACGGTTATGTGTAACGAGAATGCAACTAGACGTGGCAGTAGCAGCGTCTGGGTGAGCATGGAGTCTCCAAAGAATAGCATTCAAGAGAGGTTTAATGTCTTCCGGAACAATCGGGTTCACGAATACAGGTTCGCTTTCGTCGTCTTCCCCGACCGGATTGTTTTCATTTTCTTGGGATCCTCCGGGCTGACGAGCAGCATATTCCGGACTTGGATGCGAACTGGCGGTCGTTGGAGATGCAGGAGGGCTCGGAGTTCCGGCAGAAAGTGCAGATATAGTATCTACGTTTTTCTTAAAATTCAGCTTGCTAAGTAGCATCTGAGACATCTCGTTGAGATCGTCGATATCCCCGACAATTCTAGGTCCATTGTCCCCGACATGTTTCTGCTCTGGCTCGACGGTAGTCGCGTGAGCTGGGGCAGCAGGGCCCGAGGCGCGATGACCGTCGACAACCTCCTCCTTGAACTCCGGCAAAAGGTATTTCTCCGCTTCTTCCCAAGTATCAAACTGTTCCATTGGCCCTTGGAGCGCAACTTTGGATGCTGGAATACTATGCTTACCGGAAGTGACACGATCGAGGAAACGAACCGATTCGCGGGCATTTGCACCGGTCTGGGATGGAGCCTTTCTAAGGGCGCGAAGACGTTCAAGAGCTACAACATATCAGCCGGAGGATAGTCTTAAAGGAAGCGGCCGAACAAAGGAAAGAGACGTTATAGACACCTACTGTAGAGAGGTACGATGAGGGTGATGGCACCCTGCGAAGTCCATTTTTTGATATCGCCAACACTGGCGGCTAAGGCGGTATCATCCACCACACAATGAAAAACCTTGCGACCGACGGACATGGTGAGACAAGGGAAAGTAGATACGTGCGCGACGGAGAGGTGGGAGTATTCGCCCGCTAAGATTTCCCGAGGACGTAGATGTCAAGCAGAACTATCAAGGAGCCTGTGCGAACGTATGGGCTGCATATCGTTAGATAAACAATAGATCGCCGAAATATATATCATGTGCGTGTATGGGTGTGGGTGTGTAATAATATTTTTTTTTTCTTTTCTTTGCAGAATCGACAGGATATGTTAAAAGTTGACGGAAAGTGACGAAAGATTAAGCACCATCATCCAGGCATACAAGTCATTGGCAAACATCGAAGCGAAGGTTAAGTTTAGTGATGAACTCACAGTAATGGACGGGATCACTGCAGACGGTTGTGTTAAGCATTTTTGGATCTGCGAGTGAAACCGAGCTGGCACACGGCAAGCTGTGGAAGCAAAACCGCAATGGAGAGCGCCAATGAGTGTTCTATCGAGGCGACGGGCGAGGTCTGTGACGGCGAGCAGGATTCAGGCTTTGTTGAGAGGTGTGTAAGTTGGCGCTATGATCTGATTGCTTGAGTCGTTTGGCGGAGGAGGGGAGTGCTGACTAAGCGATGCGTGTTTCGTGCTGGTGAATGGCGGCGGCGATGGAGGAGAGGATCAAGCGGATGATATATGATGCTTAAGGACGCTTCTTTCATTGCAATTTCGTTGCTCTTATAAAGACAAATACGCTCGGAAGTAATACATTGTCCATTGTCGTCACATGTCAAAAAAAAAGCATTCATCGGGAAACAGTCATCAAAGGACAGCTGCTGCAATGTACCGCAAAAAGAGCATCTACCTAACTATGGATATTGGGCCTTTTTCCCTCCAGACGCGAAACATACCACGCGGGAACAGAAGAAAAAAAAGGAGAGGGACAAATAAGGAGGAAAACTATAACGACATTGGTGTTAAAAATGTCTGGCTATTGCTCTTTGCGAATCAATCCATTGGACTCGGAAACCCGAGCTGCCCACTCCCTGCTTGCCAGTCAGCAAACGGCCATTCTCAAGATGGGCAAGAGACACTTACGACCAGCTTCCATCATATAGCCGTCGGGATTCCGCATTCCCGTATCCAGCTTCGTGCAGCGCAAGGTCGATGACTGCCGCCGTCACTCCCGAACCACAGCTCGAAATGATAGACCTCGAGGGATCAACTCCCTTTGACTCGAGCACCTTGCGCAATTCCGCCTCCGGCAACAGAGTCTTCGTCTCAGGGTCCAGCAGCTCCACGAAAGGCACGTTTACAGAACCCGGCATATGCCCAGAAGACAACTCCGGGCGAGGTTCAGGGCTTTTTCCCGCCCAGCGACCGGCGGGCCGGGCGTCAAGGACCTGCACGCTGTCTGCGCCCTCCTTTCCGTAATCCTCGCCAATCTGTTTCATCTCTGCAAAGTCAACCACCATCTCCGGATTGTAAGCATCCACCTGGTAGTTAGATCTCTCCTCCTGGGTAATTTCACCGGACTCCGTAGGATACCCATCACGAACCCACAACCTAAAATTGTTGAGAATGCGAACATTGGGATGCCCAAAGTATCTCAACGTCCAGCCTACCCGTGGTGCACTCATCAAGCCCAGTTCCTCTGTGTCGTAGACCACAACCTCGTCGTCGCGGCGAATACCCAGTGACTGCATTGCCTCCGCGAATCGCTCCTTTGTCGGTAACATATGGGGATACGGCGAGTTAGGATCCTTGACGTCGTCTATGTCAAAGTATCGCGCCTGGGGGATCCGCTTCTTCTTGAACGACTCGATCCCGGTGCGGCCTTCTGGGTCGTTCGGCATGAACCACGCGGCACACAGGGGGATCACCCGGGGCGAAGTGGAGATTTTGGTTCGCGCATTCTTCTTCAGACCATCGTTCAATTCCTTAGGCGTGACGAGGTAGGATGACGGAATGGAGGTGGAGCGATGTTGGTGTCTCGCGTGGAGGAGCGGGCTGGCGACGGCGGCGGCGGAGGACCTAAGGTGCGGAAAGGCGCCTTGTGAGAAAATAACAGGTCGAAGAGCCACACAAGCCATTGTTGGGAGGGAATTGGGGGCCCTTTGATCTTTGGATCTTGGCCGATTCTTACATCACGAAGAAGAGGAGAGAAGAGGAGAAGTAATGTATGGGAGTACTACTCTGTTGACTATGGCTGGTTTATTCAGCAGGGAGTTTGCGTGCACGCGCGGGGGTTTTCTGGTGGGAAGACACGATGCTGCTGGTGCAACTCTGTTTGGTCGTCTCTCTTCTCACAACTATTCACCGTCGCTGGTAGAACCCTATTGATCCTTGCGTCTCTGAATGGAAATCATGAGGACAGGTGATCATGGCATCATAGACTACCCTGATCAAACGGCCAGAGTCAACTCTATTTGACGCTGCAGTGTTTTCCCGCCCAAGAGCCAGCAAGGTGTCCATCGCCGACGAGCCATTCAACGCGCAGCAATACGCCGACTAAATTCCCACTAGCCAGCACCGAGCTTGTCCGCAGAAAAGCTTCTTTTCCGACCCTCGCGCCAAGAGATAGTCTGGGATCTGTTTCAGCGAAAAAGCAGTGTTGGACGCTGGAGCTGCCATGAAGGTCACGATCAAGCAATGGAACGCAGTGGCCACATGGCGCTGGAACATACCTGAGGAAGATGTCTGCGGCATCTGTCGAGTGCAGTTCGACGGCACCTGTCCGACCTGCAAGTATCCCGGCGATGATTGCACGCTCCGTAAGTACATACATCTATCCATCCCACTGCCCTTCCGCCGTGGCATTGGCTTTCCTTTTATGTGACCGAAGCTTATCGCATACGAATAACTACAGTGACTGGGAAATGCGGACATTCATTCCATATGGTATATGGTTTCCCCGATGTCCATGTTCTCTGGCGACTAATGAACGGGGTCTAGCACTGTCTCCTGACTTGGATCGGGCAAGAATCCTCTAAGCAGCTCTGCCCCATGTGTAGACAAAGTAAGGAGCTTTTACTCTGCTGATCTGCTTGCGGCTACAGGCTTACTGGCTCTTCTAGAATTTGAGTGGAAGCAGGACGGCGCATGATTCGAGTGCACTGAAGGACGAGTCGAGGTGTTTGCTGAATATTGAACTATGATACCCCGTGCAGATATAACTATCGTTCCATTTGAGCCTTTTTCTTTTTTAACTCTCTCCGTCGCTGGTTTTGTTCGTTCTCGGAATTTACGTAGACTCGTAGCAGCAAATATATGCGAACACAGAGAGCCACTCAGGTTGCGTTCCACTACCATCATCGTCGACAGCAAGCCAGGTATTTATCTACACAACCACCAGATGCTCTTATTCTGGTCATCGGGGGAACAGCGAGTTGAACTTGAAAGCACACCAGCCTGGAGGCAAGTAACCGGAGTCGCAGAGACCGGCAGACATGAGCTCTGCAAAGCAACATGCCGCCTCGCAATCGTCAACGCCCAGGCCAGCAACCACAAACAGCAGACCGTCGGCTGTCAGCAACGAGGTCTCAAACGAAGCCGTAACTAGTTCTCCAGACCAGCAACAAGACCATGGGCAGGAACAGATCCATCAGGAATATGAACCATCTCATTCAGCACAAGATGCGACTCCAACTGCGTTCCGGCCCTTTTTCACTTTGATCGAAGACGCAAACACCTCGAAATTCCACCACCCAACCGTGCACTACGTCTTTTCTGACGATGACACCAGTCTGATCACCGAAGCGGCGCTGCGGTCGCTAGATCAGCAGCAGCGGCCACCGCATCCGCCATCCAAAGGAAGATCAGCCCAGGATCCCTCGGGCAAGGGCAAGAAGAAAGCCGTTGCCGAAGAAATCGAGCTCTCCTCCTCCGCCTCCCACCTATACACCGGAAAGCTCCCACCGCCCATCCCAGAGACGCAAGAGCACATTATAATCCTCGACGTCGAGCCAACAGCTTCCTCCACTGCCATCATGCCCTCCGATCGTCACTCTGCCTCTCACCCCGCCGATCCCGCGCCGACGTCACCTCCCTCCTCCGGCCCCAGTCCCATCCACATCCCGCAGCAGCAGCAGCAGCATCAACAACAACAGCACCAACAGCACCCGTTCCCCCTGCCCTCCCACTACAAGATAACCTCCGCCCACTCCCTCTCTCCCACCTGGCAAGTCCTATCCACCCACCTCAACCCAACCCCGACCTTCGACTCCTCCCTCATTCCCGCTCCCATAACCCAAACAACATCTCCAGACTCCGCACCTTTCCCCGTCATGCTCAGGGTCGAAGGCACAGCTGGCTCACCGGGAATGGTGAACAATAATAATGCTAATGCTGCTGTCGCTGTCGCTGCCGCTGCCACCACCACCGAATCGAGACACCGATCCGCATTGCAGGGTAATTCTTCCGTGGCTACCGGCCAACAGACCCTGGACGAGATGGTAGAGCTGTTTGAAAAGCGGATGGGGGAGCTGAGGAAGGTTGTCGAGGCGAGTGGATACGGTGCGCCGGCACAAGTAGAGCATGAGGGGAGACAAAACGAAGAGTAATGAATCGTCGAGAGCAAGCTGGCCTTCACCGACCCTTGCGCGCTTTTTTCTGGGACTTATTAAGCTACTATATGTGGGCGTCGGGCGCCTAGGATTAACCTCCTTTCCTTCTCGAAGCTGATCGGGATGTAGATTTGGCAGAACTTTCTCACATCTGTTTGAGCCCCGAGCGTTTGAACCTGTCGAGGTGAATAGCTAACTACGTGTAATATAATTAACCGTCTTAGAGCTGATATCGATTAATTTCGATTTGAGAAGGGAATTGCTGGACGATTTCTCTAATCATAGCATTAACCCTTATATCTAAATACGCCGATAATAAAACTACACATTAATACTAGAAGAAAACAACAGTAGGGTATCCCCGGAGCCAACCAAATTATTAATTCAAAAGGAACGGACCACGATCGTGCCATGAACGCCAACCACAAGATACCAGCTCCTCGTTCTTTTACCCACAATGTCCATAGCCTTTCCAGGAAAATCAATACAAACCACACCCTGGACTGCTGTATTCTATCCCTGAGGTCCACTACGTACCCTCCTCACAGGCGATAATCCACTTCCCAGAGCCGATGGCAAAAGATTCTCTCTCCCCTCCAGTGCCGCGCCGGGCCCGATCGTCGTGGCATTTCTCCTCATCACCTTTCTCGGAATCATCCTCCTATCTCCCATCAAATTCGCCTTCGCCGCAAGGGTCGCCGAAAGTCGTCTCTTCGATGGAGGAGGCTGTATCTCTTTGCAAGGCCCGTCGACATCCGATTCCGCTGCGAGGGCACCTTCAGACGTCACACTGCTAATCGGCGGACGAGAAATATTAACATCAATCTCCTTCAATCCGGAGAACGTAGAAGATGGCTTGTTTGGGGATTCCACCAACCCATCTTCATCTTGATAAACTAACCCTTTGCTCGGAGATGACGGCCGAGATCCCAAAGGAGATGTCAGCGGTGCAAGAGGCAACGGTGTCCGTTTCATAGGGCTTTTCATGGGACTCTTCATGGGACTCTTCACGGGACTCTTCACTCCCCGTAGCCTCCGAATAAGCCTATCATGCGCCTCGGTTCTCGGTAGCTTAACGGCAAAGTTGTACTGTGCTTTCTCCGGGGTATCTCCGGTAGGTCTGTACTCCGCCATTTGCGTATTCTCGATGTTACTCTGAAGTTCAGCAAGGGGTTGCCTTACTTGCGGCTTGAGGTTCGAAACAACTCTCTCCATGTCCTGATGTTCATTGTCGACTGCGCGAAGGAACTCATCCGCCCTCGATTCTAGTTGCTCCAGATGTGTGCGCACTTCACCATGTGCCCCCCGAATATTCAACGCAAAGTTATTTAATGTCTCAAGATTTGAGTTATGATGGTCATCATTCTGGGATCGTGCACGCGCCACAAACTCATCAAGCGCTTGCATTTGTGCTCGCATATCCTCTTTCTGCTCGTCGACGATTCGCACAGTTTCTGCATGCACGGCGGTAGTGCAGTCCTCGATAGCGGAGTGTCTCGTTGCGAATGCCTATCTTCAGATCAGTACTACTTGTCCCAGATATACAATTAGCCATGCACATACATCCATGGTATTTGCCAGCTTCGATTTCAAGTCCTTCTCCGAGGTCAGTACTTCGTCCATTAGCCGACTGTCCTTCTCAGCCCAGCTGTCCATCTCTCTTCCATATGCGACATTGGCTTGCTGCAGTGCCGATCGCGAATCTCTCATGTTGGCTCTAACACCACTGACGTTCTTTCTCAACCTGGAGGCCTGTCTCTCCGCGGATGAGTTCAAAAGAGCCTGAATCTGCGACATGAGCTCGGCCCGCTCTCTTTCGGAGTTTTGTTTCTCTTCATCAAGCATCGTCTCAAGCGTAGATGCGGCTTCTTCGCTTGCTTGCAATGCCCTTTGATTTGCTTCCTGTAACTCCCGGCGAATATCACTAACGTATTCTTTCTGGACTTGAAGATGATGCACAAGTGATCCAAACACGGCGGTAAAGTCGTCATTTAAATTCTGATACATTTCACGAAACTGCGATCGTCAGCACTTATGCTTCGCAGGATCGATTGATGCTCACTTACCTCTCCCTCAAACAGCTGAAGTTCGTGAATTACTTCGCCCGAAATACGCGCTGCAGCAGAAGACAGGCCATTTAGACCCTCCCCGACCTTCTCCTGAACATCTTCCCTCAATTCCTTTATTTCTTCAAGGGTGTCATTCATCTCATCTCGATTCGATAACATCCTCATTTTCGCATCGTTTTCGATGGCTTGAAGGGATGTATCCGATTTGTCTATGAGGGAGCGATCCAGGGCAATCATTTTTACCTCCTCAGAAACATAGCTCTCCACCCGTGACGAGAGTGCTTCAAGGCGGGAATGATGTTCTGACTGGAAGGCAGCCATTCGATCATCAACAACTTTTGCGATATCCAACATTTGGCTGGTTGAAGATTCCCACGTGTCTTTATTAAGATGATGAAGCTGGGACCGTCGCCGTAACTTAGAATGAAGACCATCAACGTCTGAAGCCGACTGTTCCAGCTGCGATATAAGGTCAGTTCCGATTTCGTGAAGTTCGAGCTCGGTGGTCTCGTGGGCCTCCCGTAACATGGCTTCCTCCTCCAGACTCTGCTCGGTATTTCGAAGTACAATCTCAGTTT